AAATATAGTCTATTAATCAGCAATTTATAATCACATGTAGTTAGATGGTTTGGTGGTTATGACTTTTGTTTTTTTACTTGATGTCCCAAGGTCGAATCCCCTTGGACATGTGTTGCATTCGAATCCCTTTGGGCATGTGTTACATTTTTGTTGTGTATATAGTGGTTGGTATAAATATAAATATTTTAGTTGTGTATATAGTGGTTGGTATAAATATAAATATTTTTGTAAATAATATAAAAGACATAAAAAAATGAAAAATAAAAAAATTAATTTTTTCTATAACAGTTAATTTTTGTTGTATATAGTGGTATAATTATTTTTGTAAATAATATAAAAGGTATAAAAAAAATAAAAATAAAAAGTTTATTCTATTTGAAATCTCCATCTTTATACTAACAATCTCTTTTACTAAATTTATTATAGAAACCTAAAAAAATAAATTTTTTAAAAATTGAAGTGTTATATCCAAAATTTGTACGCATTTTATTAATTTTTACATTGATAACCAAATCTTTTATTTTATTTATAAATTTTTACATTATAAATCATGTAATGTACTATTTTTCTTACAGTTGTCAATAATACATTTTAAATTAGATAATATAATAAAATATTTTTAATTTGTTATTATTTGTCTAATAAAATAATTATAAAATGTAAACTAATAATTATAATTTCAGTATATAATATTATAATTAGTGAAGTTGTAATAATTTTGGATTATAGTTAGTTAGGCTGTAATAGTTTGGGTTTTTTTAGCGGATTAGGGTTTTTCGTCAAAACGAGATTTTAATGGCCATTCTTTCATTGATTAGTCTACACTTTATAAAAATCCATATATAATTATATATTTTATCCATGATAATTCTATGATTTTTCTTTTATGTGATGCAAATTAGTAGTTAAAATAAGTTTATACAGGGAAAGAGCATCTCAATATTCACAAATTGATAAAAAAAATGAAACTTAATAGTGTAGTACCTTCATTTTTTATTGGATTCCTAAAAAAAACATTTATAATGAATTTTAATAATTTTTTCGGATTTTTTTGAAGCTTTAATCCGACCGATTCAGCCGATTCTCGATCCGGATCCCCGATTCGCCGATCCGGATCGGTTTTTGAGGTGCTCAATCCGGGTCACCGATCCGCTTTTTAAACCAATGCTTTGGACTATGTGTTGTCACTGTTCTTGATATCTTCAATACTGAATCTGCTACATGTGCTATGCGGTAAGTTGTGTATGACTTGAAGAAAACAACGTAGGTGGCTATGCATATGTTATCCAGCATTAGATTAGGATAATGACTCATAGATTGTAGCCACAGATGGACTGATATTTTAGGGTTGGGGTCCTGAGGAAAATTTGTTATACATGAAGATATTGGAACCAGCCCTTTGCTTAATATATTTTTTGATGCAGACAAAATGCAACATCCTTCAGTCATTTTTCCTGAACTTTTTGTATGGAAAGGAAGTACTACAATTACATCTGTTTTAGAAAAGATTAAGATGTGATGAATGCTCAATGAGTCAACAAGTATCATATAATGAAGTTTGTGAGGTGGAGGCCTTAGGAACCTTCTTATTTCTCCATATTTTTTATGTTTGAGGACCAAAGATTTTGTAAGTCCATCCTCTTGGCTGCTAAGACCAAGATCCTGAAAGAAAATAGATTTGGAGCACTAAAAATGCTTAATCTTGAATGTCATCTCAACATGCACTCTGGAATGTCCATTTTAATCGACCCTAGATCATTCACATTTGAAATGAATTTTTTGTTTAAAATTCAAGTTATTTCTCCTGTTATCTGAACATTTTTTAATCTTAATGCAGGCACTACTACACAGAACTGTGGATGATTACAAGGCTGCAGGGTTTGATCCCCAATCAAGTAGCCTAGAGATCCGCTTAATTCAGAGCCAGGATGATATTCGTTTACCCCAGGTTACTTACTTTGCAGAAAAGTATACCTGATAATAAACATTTTCAGATACTTGAAAAACGTATGTTCTTTTTGTAAAAAACTCCTTATTTGCATGTGCTTCACAGACGTAATGTTAGATGCTATTATTCAGAGCCATGTTTGGCAAATTTTAATTGTTCATTACAATGGGAGGGGGTGGTGATTACTCTGTTCATAAGACACTAAGCTCACTAGTTAAAAATATTCAGTCAGGCTTGCATTGGGATATCCGAAGCAAAAATTTTTAGCTCGCAAGGCAAAGAAATGAACAAAAACTAGTTGTATGTCAACAGTTGATGCACAAGCATTACAACTTTCTATTCTGATGTAGGAAATTCTTTTTGGTAAAGTCCATGCCTTTAATTGAGAGGATTAATTTCATATTAAAAACATAGTTTACCTGATGTTTGGCTTGGTCATGTGCTTATGTAAAAATAATGTTCGGAAAGTAGATAAGTTATGTGATGTATCAATACTTTACCTTGCACATGTGCTTGTATGTAACAAAACGAAACAATGTATACAATAAATGAGGGTTTTTTTTTTTTCCATTTTTTGGGGGTGGGGGGTAAGTCAGGAGGATGCACCCCTACCCGTTTTTGAAATAGTCAATTTAAACATAAATGAGGTCTCCAAGGTGTCAGTATATTGCACAAAAAGCTGAGTAGATTATGATCATTAACCACTTATTATATCGTGATGGAGTTTTGCCAAGGACTTGGTGCATATGATTTCCTAGTTATTGGTCATCGTGAATATACTATTGTTGTGGTTCCTCCTAATTTCTACTGGAGAAGACTCTTTCGTGGGAAGAGGCAGCACACTTGTTGTGATGAAACATGTCAAATAGTTATAGAAGCCAACACATTTAATGTTTTGAGAATACTATTAGCGTTGACCCACTTGATGTTACCACCGTATTGAGTGTATTATTTGCTTGTGCTTGGTTTGGATTCTGGGTGTCATCTTTTTTCATGAGATTAAATTATCCGACCCTTTTCACAAAGGGTGTGGTTTCTATAAGGTTGCAACCTTAAACAATCCAAATTTTATCATTTTGACGTAAAATGTTTTTAGGATTATCTAAAACTTGATTTTCATATCTAATTATATAATTTTAAACACCAAAAATGGTTAAAATCAAGTAGATCTACAAACATATGAAAATCTTGAAAATGGACGGTCTAGATAATGTGTTGCAAGATGCACTATTTTTGGGACTCAATTTTTTTTTTTTTTTCTTTCCTTCCTATTCATGCATCCTGATGTGGAGACGATGAATAAAAAGCATTTTCAACGTTAAAATAATATACATTTCAAGGTTAAGTTATTCCTTTCACAAATATGGGATTAGCAATTGAAGTATGGACTTGTCCCGCAAGTTTATTAGAGATTGTCGGCAGTATACTAAGATGGACACCCTCCACAATGAGCAAATGGACGTAACCTTTCCCCAGCTGGAAGAATAGTGTTTGGCCGGTAGCTTATACTGAAAGGGGCGTGGGTTTTCTAGTTGATGCCAATTCCAAGTGAAGGGAAGGTGGAAAAGTAATTTATGAGAAGAACATATATGTTCGGGTTGCCCCGTCCCGAGTCATCATAAGAAGGCACTATCCAACAATCCCCTTGGCATGACGTTTTATTATGTTACCAAATAACTAGAGGTGCCGGTCTTTTGTTATTTTAATGGAATTTATAACAATTCAGGAATCTTAAGGTGTTCATGCTATTCTTGACAGTACCCAACAAAGAGTCGAGGTGCCAGTCTTTTGTTATTTTAATGGAATTTATAACAATTCAGGAATCTGAAGGTGTTCATGCTATTCTTGACAGTACTCAACGAAGAGTCGTGCAAGGTGATTCTTCCAATGTCAGAGGCTCCCAAAAGATCCCTTGTCTTCTAAAATCAGTTTTAGGCAAGATTATGGAGGATAAGTGGCATCACAATCCTTACTTAGCACATCAATAGAGAAAAGAACCGCAAGAGGCATATGCCTTGGCTAGAGATGATGTCGAGTTGGACTATTTAATAGGGGAAAAGATATTGTCAACCTATAGGCTGATGGAACAATGATGTCTATTATTGAATTTTGGTCGATCTGACAGACACGATTATATTTTAAATTTAAATTTTAATTTAAATTTAATTTTTAATTTTAATTTTAATTTTAATTTTAATTTTAATTTTAATTTTAATTTTAATTTTAATTTAATTTTAATTTTAATTTTAATTTTAATTTTAATTTTAATTTTAATTTTAATTTTAATTTTAA